GGGGAGGAAGGGCTGCCAGCTGGCGTCGCATTCCAGCCCAGCAGAGGAGAGGAACATTTTAAAAACTCTCCTTGCCAAGGTCTGCGGTCTTGCCAGCAAAAATTCTACTTTGTGAGCCAGGGGCATTAAACTTGTGAGTGAGCCATTCGGCTACTGCTCTGGAGCCCTCCTTCCTGGGCTAAGACAAAAATGTGTGAGCCGGAGGCTAAAAACCTGTGAGCTAGCTCACACTCACTCAGCTTAGAGGGGACACTAAACACAGGCATCCATCACTATGAGGATCGCGGCATGAGCAACAGGATCCCCCAGAGTAAATACACCCGGGAGCCCCACGGATGTGGGTTTGAGTACCCCCCTGCAGCAGCAGCAGTACTTTGCAGAGTGGACACACAGGGAGAGAGAACACGGCTGTTCCAACCGCATCGCCCCTGCCCCCTCACTCCACAGCACCTTTCACAGAGGCAGACGTACACAAGGCCAAATTCTTCCTCCTGGACAACATTTAGGGTAGGAGAAAAGGCAACCTTTTCCCAGGCAAGAGAGAGCAGAAGAAGAGATTGGAGCTAAACCCCACCCTTCGCTTGGAGTCTCAGAGCAGTTTACAATCTCCTTTCCCTTCCCCTCCCCACAACAGACACCCTGTGAGGTGGGCGGGGCTGAGAAAGCTCTTTGGAGGACTGCCCTTGAGAGAACAGCTCTGAGAGGACTTGTGACTGACCCAAGGTCACACCAGCAGCTGCATGTGGAGGAGTGAAGACCCAAACCCGGCCCTCCCAGATTAGAGTCCGTGCTCTTAACCACTGCACCAAACTGGCTTTGTATCCAAGGTGCAGGAGGGGTACAGACCCCCAAACAATAAACAGGGAGAAATACCAGGGCACAGACACAAGAAGCCTGGGGTCCAGTCCCGCTAAGGGAGACGCCGGCAAGAAGACAGAGCTCGCCTTTGGCGGTTAGAAGGCCCAGAAAGGGGTACCAGATGAGATCAAATGTGAGGGATCGTTCATGCTGATCGGCTGGCCTGAATTCCAAGCAGAGCACCAGTGAGACACTCAGGAGCCATCCGAAGGCTTTCAAGACTCGGCTCAGGCTGGACTCCGGAAGACGGTCCTCCTTTCAGGGTGATCTGGAGTCGGTGGCCGGGAGAAAACAGGGATTCTTCTCTGGGTGAAAGTCTTGTTCCCTCCGCCCTGCTTCTTTGTGGGGCAGGAAGCGCCAAGGGATGCTGTTTACCTGGGTTGGTTCCCCTTGGAAGGAGGAAGCCCCGGAGCCTTCTGGTTTCATGTTCTTGTCTCCCTCCATGCCCAGTATCCTGGCAGAGCTGAGCAGGGGTGGAAGGCAGAGGAATTCACACAGAGTTGCAGCACCCACTACTGCCCCACATCAGCTGCCGAGATGGGCCTGGGAAGAGGGCAAGGAAAAGCCCCCATCCCATCCAAGCAGGGAGTGGTGTTGGATTCTGGGAAAGAGCTGGGCCAGAAGGCTTCCTCCTGAGGCAGGCAGAGGAGAAGAGGCAGGCCGGGCAGGTGAGGGGGTTCCCTCCAGGCCTGTCCAATTCAAGCAACGATATCGGGCCTTATCCTAAAGGTCCCCTGCCAGATAATTGCCCAAGTTTTGATCATCCAAGTGGGAGATTTCATGGCCTACTTCAGCAGCCTCTTCTACTAGAGAATGTCTGATTCCTCCAGATAACTCAGCAGGTCTGCTGATGGAAGGGGGTGCAGAGTCTCAGCGTGGGGCAGGATCCGTTCCTTGGTCTCTTTTCCATTCCATCTCTTTCCCCTCTCCCTCACTGCAGTTTCAGATGTGGGGACCATCCCTGAAGATGGAAGCTGCAATACCTGAGGTGGAAGGAGCTTCCTTGGAGCAAGGGCAGAGGGCGCAGGCCGTGGAGCGTGCCCAAGATCCCCTCTCCTTTGGTAAGGGCCCCTTGTGCCTGCATGCCGTTGGGGCATTCTGTGAACGTGACGGGCAGAGAGTTGAGGTCAGGAGAAAAATAAATAGTTCTACACACGTCAAAGAGTTGATTTGCGGCACTCAGTGTCCACTAACTCTGATGCCTCCAAAAGGAGATGAGACACATTCCTAGAGGGTAATTTCTCCCCTTAATTAAAAAAATCATGCCTCACATTCCTTAGAAATCAAGTTTTCAGGGTGAGGGGGGTCACACGACTATCCAGTCTCCTGAACAGAGGGAGCCTCCACCTTCTGGGGCAGCAGAGCGCTGAAAACCAGTTTCTCCGGTCCAAGAATATTGGGGAAATTTGGCTTCTGTGCCTGTGCTTCAAGGGGCCTCTGGCAGGCCGCGGTGGGAAACAGAGTGCTGGGGGGACGGGTGGCAGGCTGTGGCCGGGCACCCCCAGGAGCTTTGGGGAGGGGCCTTGGGACAGATGTGATGTCATGTTGCTGTTGCGTCTGGCTGAAATCCTGCTTGGGAAGTGAGCCTGCCAAGAGACACTCCAGAAACTCACTCCTATTCCCCTCGAGTCTCCAGATGCGCTCAAGTCATGAATTGGTCTGAATGGGACGGTGACGTGTCCTGCAACGTCTTTCCCTCCCCACAGAGCAAACACAGGTCTCACAGAAGTCTGAATAATGTCGGCTGCGTTTATAAACCCGAAAGATCATGGGTACCACGTGCTTCTCTTCTGCCTCTCCCAGAATTCAGTAAAAAGTGTTTAAAGATGTGTTGTGTGTACACAGGGGGAGGTTTCACAGCACGGGGAAGGGGTTGTGTGAAGCAGGGACCAAGCAAGCAAACGGCCTTCCTTCCTCCTTTGTCTCAGGAAAAGGCAGTGAAGAGATGCTGTTGAGCCGACATCTTTTCAGAGGTCCGGAAACGGCTGCCGCACCTCCAGTCCAGGTAGGAGAGAGGAGCGTTGTGGGATTCTGGGACCCCTGGACTGTTTCCCTGGGGGGCCCCCCCCATCCCCCTTTAGTTCTTTCATTTGTTGGGTGAAGATTGGCAAGGGAGTGACTGTATCCATAGAGAGAGAGACCAGAGTTTTCAAAGAAAACCAGATTATTTACAATATAAGCTTCTTAAGGACAAAAAGCTCTTTGGCACTTACATATCTTTTAGGGTGAAAACAGAACATTTCCATAATCAGCATAGAATACTTCAACACAAAGGTAGTGCGCTAGTGTGGAATAGAGAGCGTTCTGGTCTAGTCAACATGAGCTCACAGAGAGCTGATTGGAAACCAGCCCAGGACTTCACCAATTTAGACCCTCAGTACCCAAAGGTTCAGCCCACATGGATGACTTATGGTTACCTTTTAGCAGAAGAATATCAAACTTATACCCTAGTTAGACTGCCAGGAATGTTACGCGTAGACTGTATTGTGACCTTATTGGAAGCACAGACCCCTGCTTCAGCAAGTATGTTGCAGGTCGGAAGCTACAAACCTCCTCACGAGGAGTCTTTGAGAGAGTATGAGGATGAAATGGTAGACCTAGAGAAATGAAAACAACTCTTTTTGGAGCAGGGTGCCTTGTCAGGCTAGAGAGAGGCTTGTGAGATGACAGTAGCTAAGCCTGCAAAGCCTTATGGGAGAGCAACCAAACAGAGAGGCCTCAGCCAATCCAGGCTCATATACAGAAATGCCCCAGGCTCGCTGATTTTTCTGCCACAGTGAGATGAGGTGAGGGGACAGCTCGGGTCCCTCTTCCTTTCTCAGGGGAACTTTTGCTCCTGCAGTTTCTACAAGGTCTTGGGGCAAGAGATCCTCTGAACACCATTCCCTTCACCCATCCCGACGTTTACATCCCGTACCTTCCCAGACTACTCTCTTCCAAGGAGCCATCTCTGCCTGACGTGATCTCTGACGAGGGAATCTGCTTTTCCTTTCAGGGTCCCTTTTCCTTTGAGGAGGTGTCCATCGATTTCACGGAGGCAGAGTGGGCCCTGCTGGATCCGGGACAAAGAGCTCTGTACAGGGAAGTCATGCTGGAGAATTACCAGAATGTGGCCTTTCTGGGTAAGGATCTTCCCTTGCTGCCAAAGGTGCAAATTGCAGTCATTGTGAGGAGATTGAATCCAACTATAGAATAGCTGTTCACAGTTTTGAGGCCTGTCCCGCTACTTGGGAAGGGGCTGCGGTTCCCTGGCAGGGGATCTGCTTGGCTTGCTGGAAGTCCGAAGTTCAATCCTTCGTATTTCCAGTAAAAAGGATCAGGTAGGAGGCAATGATCCTAGAGAGCCCCTGCCGGACTGAGTAGGTGACACTGAGTGCTGTGGACCAAGGGTTCATGTATCCCAGTGTGTGTTCTTGGCCAGGGGCAACAGAGGCCAGTGTTGTGGCCGTCACCCAAGCCAGGGAAGGTCCGCTCTGCCCGTGATCTGGAAATGATGTTGTCAAGAACCGAAGCCGGGGTCCCACTGGGTCAATAAGAACATAAGAGAAGCCCATGTTGGATCTGGCCAATGGCCCATCCAGTCCAACACTCTCTGTGTCACACAGTTGCCAAAAATACCAGGTGCCCTCGGGAGGTCCAGCAGTGGGGGCCACCGCTGATCCTGCCACCACCAACCACGCTGCCCCAGAGGAAGGGAGATCTCAGGGGCTTGGCTCTGGTGGCTCCCAAGGCTGTCCCGACCTGTCGGCCGTGGGTGGGGGTAGAAAGGGGTGGGTGGGACAGGCGCTTCATAGAAGAGGGGGTCTCCCAATGGCTAAGGAGGGCACGGGTGCTCGT